AAACTAAAGATAATAAAATTAGAATAATCAGAAGATTTACTCATACATTAATAAAATAAGTGTGTTTATGCAGGGTTATCTAGATTACCGAAAACCAAAGGATGATGAAAGATTCATCAATATAAGTGATGATGAATCAGTGGAGCTTAGATCTAATAGGAAATTTAATGTTACTGTTAAAGACTAAACATTATTTTAATTTGAAAGAGACATATACTATACCATCATTAGGCAGATTTAGTTTCAAATTTTTCTTAAAAAAAATTTGGATACTCTTGTTTATTTGGATATTGTCAATTAAGTCTTTATTTGAATTCAAATATTATCGATACTGGCTCTTTATATTATCATGATAACATATACTTGTTTAATACAAATGTCCCATTGAATGAACTCTTGCATAATAATTCAAGTGGTATAAAATGTAAATTAATTAATGAGAATTCTGATTTATTATGACAAAAGCATTTGTCATATCTCTAAAAAAAGAATTTAGAGGATTGTGTTTAATGAAATTCTTCATTCCCTTGATTTCACACTTTGAAGTTTATGTTAATTGTATTAAAGGTAAACAAATAAATTTAAAGAAACCGGGTGCCAATAGAACTTAAAATGTCTTAGAATTAATTCATTCGGATATTTGTGGAATGTTTCCTTCCCTCTCGGTCTTCTACCCACTCTTATCATCTCTATCAACTTCCACTGCTCCTCTATCATCTCCGTGTCACTTACGCCTCATTGGATATCACACGAGGCTTATACCTCACATAATATGAGGCCTACCTTGAGATGCACCTCTCCTTAATTCTGACGAGACATGCACAATTAGATCCAAGAATTTTTACAGAAGTAACGCAAAATATTCTATGCTTACACATATAATATACAATTGAGAATGTAATTGAAGAATTATTGTCAAAATAGCCACTGTTTAAAATCTGATAAATATCAAAATTGATTAGATAGAATGTAATTGAAGAATTATTGTCAAAATAGCCACCGTTTAAAATCTAATAAATATCAAAATTGATTAGATAAGAGGAATATGATTGAGATTTAAGAGGAGCAAAATGAATGACAGAACATTGATACAATGGAGGATGAAATGAAGGAGAAAGCAAATTATTATGTTGATAATTTTAATTGAGGCTCATTAAGTGATAAGAGTTATGAGGACTTCTGAATGTAAAAATTCTAACATTAGTAACTTGTTATCTTCTTATTTTTATGAAGGATGGTTGGAGTGGGAGAGACTTATGTTATTGAACTTATATTAAACCGTTACATTATTATGCCTTATTTTGATGTTCGTAAAAATATTCTTATTTTATGATTTAATATTTGGATGTTAATATGTTGCTTCTTACTTGGAACAATTTATTATTTCGACTAAATTAGGACGTTAACATATTATATTTTAATGTATCAATACGTTACAATGTTAAAATATTAATTATTATCTATTTTGAGCTTAACTCAATAGTTTTTTTCGTTTTTCAATTTTTTTTTTTTTTTGTGTAAAAGATACTGCAATATCCGATTATGCAAGTTTAAACGTTGGCTGGGGTGAGACACCAAACCTTGAATCTACTTCAAGTAGGTGATGGGGCACAAGATTAAGTATGCAAAATTAATGGGAGAAAATAAAATACTCTAGCCAATCAGCGGAAAAATAAAAAAAAAACCATTTTGTTTGACAAAAAATTGTTACCATCAGAAATTGAACGGATTGTGTGCCAAGCAGATTTTTCAATAAACTTCGTTTCCATCAGAGACGAAAAACAAATAAAATTAACTTTGCATGAAAAGTTTGTTAAATTTATGAACAAACTAAATTCAAAATTTTCCTTATTTACTTTGCTAAAATAAACATAAAGGCAAAAAAAAAATAAACAGATAGTACTCATACTTTTATGTAATTATTATTATATAGCTTTTTTATAAGTTATGAAAATGCAATATTAAGATAAGACCAGAAATCCTGATGGTGAAGAATATAAAAGCTGTTGAACTGCAGTTCGATCAGATCACTATCACCATAATCATGTTTCATTTTCATGAAAGGAAGGCACCGAAAGAATATAAAACAGAACCTAGATTCATGTAATTTAAGCTCCCATAACAAAGTTAATAAACGTTAAACATATAAATTATCAGAGAAAACAGAAGGCTATAAATTACCTCAAACAATAGTCCAGAACTTTTTCCTGCATATTAAGACTGGCTCATTTTTCTTTTCCTCATTTTCTAGCATATACAAATCGACATCCCACAGGAACTTTGGGGCAATGCCTGTTACCATTCTCAACACATGGGAATCTTCATCTCTAATAATGATATAGCCCTACAAAATCAAGTAATGTGAGAACACTAATTCTAAAAAATGCATTTTAAATCTGCTTGGTAATAATTACTGATACATTAAAATTAAAATCACCACTTTGTATAAAAATACAGATTCATTATAAATAATCCCCATAGTTTCTTATTAACTCATGGAAATATAGATTATTCAAAGGTGCTCATGCAAGTGGTCATGCAGCTCTAAGAGATTGCCAGCATCATATATGAGAGGGTGAGGTGTTATGCAGTGCAAGTCGTTTATCTTAAAACATAGTCACGAATCATTGGATTGTCAGTTCAATTACAATTATTTTATGTTTATTTTGTAGTCCTAATATTTTCTCAATCAATTATCACTGGCTATGGAGTCATTGTCATTTAGAGCTAATTAAAATTTTTTACATACTTAACAGTAGTTATATAATATTTAATTTGGCGTGTTATCATAAATAATATCTACGGCTATGCAATTCAGTGGATGACAATGGCATCAAAAAAAAA